CCCCCCCTCCTTACCCTTACCCTTACCCTTCCTCTCTTAGTCCTGATCTCCAACAGGTGTTTTATTTTTGGATTGATTGGAAATCCTAGATGGCAACACCCTTCTGATTGGGGGAAACAAAAAAAAACACATTTTATATCATTACACCATTATGGTCTGAAACTATAAACAGGTGATGGCTACGTACCCCATGGGTCTCTTGCTGTTTAAGAGCTACATGTGTACTGTCAAAGCTATAATTATGTATAGATTTGTAAACAGAAAATAATAATTTAAGAAAATCTGCCTGCAGTATATAAAAGTTGGGTTTAGCAGCAACCAGGAATGGTTGTCAATGTGATACGTCGACGGTACAGTGTTTATGTGGTGAGTATACAGCGTACACACTGACTTAACAGTGTATATGGTGTATTAAAGCATATATGGTGCTCATTTTTTTGAGACCACAATTTTGTGCACTCATTAGTCTGGGTTGATTGTGAGTCGTGTGCTCAAGTGCTCATTTGAGTCAAGAGCTTTTTGTTTATATATATCAACAAGTGGAGAACGGTCGTGTAGTCACCGGTCTGTACTGAGTCAGTGGTCGTGTACAGTCACCGGTCTGTACTGAGTCAGTGGTCGTGTACAGTCACCGGTCTGTACTGAGTCAGTGGTCGTGTACAGTCGCCGGTCTGTACTGAGTCAGTGGTCGAGTGTGCTCGTGTGTTGATGTTATTCTTATATGTGTTATTAACATAATACATACAAGTCAATTAACAGAATAATTTATTATGAGGATCAGAGATAGCTTTATCATAACTGGTGTTCCATAAAATATAGTATTAAATCAGGTTTGTGAACAGTTGAAATATAATGAAATTGTCAATGTTTTTCAGTAGGTTTGCTCCTCTAAAGTATATCGAAAATTTTAAATTCACAACAGAGTACAAAATACATGTACTGAGATTGAACTATCAGTATTTAGAAAAGGTCTGATCCTGTAAAAAATATTGATAAGCATTTTTAATTATTCCCCTTTTTTATTTTGATGAATTTGTTTGGTTTTGTTTTTGTTTAGATATATGATAAATCAGGGTCAAAAATCTAGACAGTAATAAGCTTGACTTCATCAGTCAACAGAGATGTCTTTCATTGTGTAGATCTAGTTAGTGTCTGGGGAGTACTTGTGGGAGTGATAATAGGAGAGTATGGTGTGTCTGCTTTATGATGGGTGTGGTAAGTAGTGGTGGGAGTGGCCTGTAGTGTTGAGAGGGACTAGAATGCAGGTGGCATGGTTTGTAAAAATGGGTGTGGTCTTCAATGATGGGCTTTGTACGTGGAGATTGGAGTGATTAGGCTACATGAAGCATAGCTTTTATTAATGGCTGTAGTAGCCTGTAGTTATGAGCTTGTCCTGGCCATGTAATGATTGGCATGACCTGTAGTAATGGACATAACCTGTAATGATGGGTGTGGCCTGTAGTAATGGACATAACCTGTAATGCTGGGTGTGACCTGTAATGATGGGTGTGGCCTGTAATGCTGGGTGTGGCCTGTAATGATGGGTGTGGCCTGTACTGATGGGTGTGGCCTGTAATGCTGGTTGTGACCTGTAATGATGGGTGTGACCTGTAGTAATGGACATAACCTGTAATGATGGGTGTGGCCTGTAATGCTGGGTGTGGTCTGTAATGATGGGTGTGGCCTGTAATGATGGGTGTTGCCTATAATGATAGGTGTGGCCTGTACAGATAGTCATAGTGAAACAAGGGGTGTGGCCCGTAATGATGGGTGTGTCCTGTAATGCTGGGTGTGGCCTGTAATGATGGGTGTGGCCTGTAGTGATGGGTGTGGCATGTAATGATGGGTGTGGCCTGTAAAGATGGGTGTTGCCTATAATGATAGGTGTGGCCTGTACAGATAGTCATAGTGAAACTAGGTGTATGGCCTGTAATGATTGGCATGATCTGTAATGATTGGTCGATAATGGTCTCTAGTCCTGAGAGTAGGTGAGCTGTAGAGGTAACAGGGTTTGAATGGTGTTCTGATCTGAAGGAAGGGTTTGTCTGAAAGGATGATCCACATATGAGAGTGTGAGAAATGTGTGGTGATGGATAGATGGTGTGAGAACAATGTTGTATTTTATTATTTTATTGAATGTTTATTACGTGCAAATAAAATACTTACAGATGGTATTGATGTCTTGTTATTTTTATTAATTTTATTGTAAGAGTTCATTGTTTATTATTAGCTCACTGGGTCTGAAGACCAAGGTGAGCTTATGCCATACCGTGGCGTTCATCGTCCGTCCGTCCGTCGTCCGTCAACAATTTCTTTTAAACGACTAAATTTGACTGGAAACATTCCTAGGTGATAGGGATTCAAAATTGTACAAATGGTGGGGCTGACCCCCAAGGGGGCTGAGGGGTGAGGCCAAAAGGGGGCAATTGGCTATATTGCTTTAAGCAACTTCTTCTCTGGAACTAAAAAATTGATATCAACCATATTTGACTGGAAGCATCCCTAGGTGATGAGGATTGAAAATTGTTCAAATGGTGGTGCTGACCCTCAAGGGGGCTGAGGGGCGGGGCCAAAAGCAGGCAATTTGGCTATATTGCCTTAAGCGACTTCTTCTCTGGAACTAATAGATGGATATCAACCATATTTGACTGGAAGCATCCCTAGGTGGTGGTGATTCAAAATTGTACAAATGGTGGGGCTGACCCCCCAAGGGGGTTGAGGGGCGGGGCCAAAAGGGGGCAATTTGGCTATATTGCTTTAAGCGACTTCCTCACTGGAAATAATAGATGGATATCAACCATATTTGACTGGAAGCATCCCTAGGTGGTGGAGATTAAAAATTGTACAAATTTTGGGGCTAATCCCCAGGGCTAAGGGGTGGGGCCAAAATAAGTTTATCACTTGGAAATGGTTGATATCCCCACCGTATAACCATATATACAATTGCTGAGTATGAAGAGAAGAATGCACAGTTGCTTCCAGGATGGCCCTAGGGTCTGGCCCCACCCTTGGAGACATAGTCCCTGGGTCATAACTTTGAAACGATTGAGATCCCCTCCCCAAAACTATATATACAAATACTGGGCATAAAGAGACGAATGCAGTCATGATAATAGAATAGACCCTGGGGTCTGACTGAACCCCTAGGGACCTAGTTTCTTAGTCACAGCTTGGAAACAGTTGAGATCCCCACCCTATAACCATACTGTATATACAATTGCTAAGTATAAAGAAATGAATGCACATATGCTTCCAGGGTGGCCTTGGGGTCTGTCCCACCCTTGGAGACTTAACCCCTGGGTCATAACTTTCAAATGGTTCAGATCCCCACCCCAAAACTATGTATACAATTGTTGGGCATAAAGAGACGAATTCAGTCATGATATTAGAATTGATCCCAGGGTCTGCCCATCCTTTGCAGACTTAACCCCTGGGTCATAACTTAGAAACGGTTGAGATCCCCACCCCAAAACTATAAATACAAATGCTGGGCAAAATATTAGAATTGATCCTGGATTGGCCTTGGGGTCTGGCATATTCCCTTGGATCTCATTTGGAGAATATTTTGCCATGATTGCTTAGATATCCAGGTGAGTGGTACAGGCCCTCTGGGCCTCTTGTTTAACTCAGGTTTCTTATTCAAATCACATTTTGGAATAAAAAGACAACCACTGGAAAGCATTGATGATAACATCCTGATCAGGTATGATTTATTTTGTTATTTTTATTGGTTACTGCAAATTACAATTTTTCAATTATGTTCAGCTATAATGTTAAAATGCATAAATCAATTTGAATTTGTATGAAGTCTAAATACTACATATGTGATGTTAAAAATTAGCTTGACTACACATTTGTAAATTAGTACCTTCCTGTATTGAACATTCAGTACCTTCCTGTATAGAACATTCATTGCTTTAACGTTAAATATTCTAAGTTACACAATAGCATCAACTTACAAGGACAACAACATAAAACTGACACAGTAACGAAACGTGTACTGGTATAGCGGATGGTTTTTATGGTTTGGGGGAAATTTTATGAAAGCCCAAAATTAAGGTGAGACAAATTCACTTATGATAGAAGAGGAAACATTTTGTAGGATTTCCCTCTAGAAGGTTATTAGGCCTCGAATATATATTATATTCAATAGATATGATTAACATGTTATGATTCATCTCATTTAAATCCTGGTTCACCTTGGTTAAACATCTGATGTCATAGGTACAGATCCTGGTACACACCACCTATACTCTCGGGGACCAAGGACACCTACCACCAGCAAATGTTAATTAGCAGTACAATCGACATAGGGTTAAAAGATACATAACAAAGTTGAACAGAATAAATAGAATATTTATCATAAAATGATAGATACACATATATAGTGATTATATCACATATATACTGATTATATCACGGGTCAAATGCTCCACCGGGATACGACAATGGGAGAATATCAACAAGGTTTGTTTATATAGATATGTACGTATATACGTCTGGCATGCTGGCGGTGAGGTTAACGAGGATCGCCCTCTACACTTTGTTACCCAGGTTTTCCATCTGTTTGTACTGTTAATTTCGGAGCACTAGCTGTATACATGGAATAGTTTGATCGATTATATATTGGGTGCAATCTTGGATATATCTTCAGTTTTTTTAGCACTAAAAAAACTGACACGCATTGATCATTTGAACTCCATTAAGTACAATATTCCGACAATTATAAAAGTCATAGGGCAACCTTTTTCTGCTCAAGCTCTTGAACTATATCTGTAACTGAATGATACTGCTGTAAAACTCGGTTTGTGGCCACTGGTATGAACCTTGTGAAAAACATTCAACTGAGTTCCCTTATGCACCTTAACATGAACATATTACTATTTTACAACACATTTTAATGTCAGGGAAAACAACTGTATCCAGTAAGCCGTGCATGGGCAGAGGATGCCACTGTCTACACTTCAGCGTGCCTGGGCAGGGGAGGTAACTGTCTTTTTGACATATCTTTTCTTCCTATTTTTGAAAGTGAGGAAATGGAAGCGGACCCTGAGAGGACAGGCTTTTTGGTTGCTCTAGGCAGTGTAGAGGTGGAGACCGACTCTGACAGACCTGAGGTTTTAACTGGGCGATGAAGAGTGGATGTTTGACCGCCGTCCTCATCCTTATACTCTCCAGGCAGGACTTCCAGATAGTCATGCATGGACTTTCGTCGGAAAGATTCCCGGTTAGATTCTGTGATTTTTGATGTTCTGCAACTGAATTGGGACAACAACTTTCCCCCAGTCATATCCAGGTAATCTGTTTGGCTGGCTGAGTCCTGCCTGATGATCTGAAACATGAGATAAGGTTGGTACAACAATGGTAGCATTACCTATTGGATCAGTATCTGATTGGATGCTTTTTTATTCATATTGAAAAAATAATTATCTGGTTTAAGCTTTGTCTGGCATTAAGGCCATAATGTTTAAATATGGTATTATAGAAAGGCTTTTATCATAATTCTCTTTTTATGGAGGGGGGATGTTATATATTGTTTTGTCCGTCCATGTCACATATTTAGTTGTTATCATACTACTATCAGCCTGGACTTGATTTGGATAGCAGTGTTACAGTGCTCAGTAAAATACCTTGAATGAGTTCACATGTAACAGTTGTAAGGTCAAAGTTGATGTACTATGAAAATAAATGTGTATCAACGTCTCTATCAGATTGGGATCTNAAAAAACCCCCCCCCCCCCCCCCCCCCGAAAAAAGAAATAGCTGGGGATGGTAGGAGTCAAAGGTCACAAAGGTCAAAGTAACTGTTACTAAAATCAGAATTACACTTAATGAATAACCCTATCCAGATGCTAACTTCAGAACAAATAACCTGGTAATTGGAAATAGACATAATTTAGTTTGTGTGTTGCCATTAGATAGAGAAAGAATCCTTTAAATTTTGGGTGTAAGCCTAATTGATTCTGACCATTGTTCATTAAGGTCAGGGTTGTCCTTTAAATTTTGGGTGTAAGCCTTATTGGTTCTGAGCATAGTGATAAGGTTAGGGTCGTCCTTAAGATTTTGGGTGTATGCCTTATTGATTCTGACCATTGTTCATTAAGGTCAGTGTTGTCCTTTACATTTTTTGTGTAAGCCTTATTGGTTCTGAGCATGGTTCATGAAGGTTAGGGTCGTCCTTAAGATTTTGGGTGTATGTCTTATTGATTCTGACCATTGTTCATTAAGGTCAGGGTCGTCCTATAGATTTTGGGTGTAAGCCTTATTGGTTCTGAGGATGGTTCATGAAGGTTAGGGTCGTCCATTAGATTTTGGGTGTAAGCCTTATTGGTTCTGAGGATGGTTCATGAAGGTTAGGGTCGTCCTTTAGATTTTGGGTGTAAACCTTATTGATTCTGACCATTGTTCATTAAGGTCAGGGTTGTCCTTTAAATTTTGGGTGTAAGCCTTATTGGTTCTGAGCATGGTGATAAGGTTAGGGTCGTCCTTTAGATTTTGGGTGTATGTCTTATTGATTCTGACCCTTGTTCATTAAGGTCAGGGTTGTCCTTTAAATTTTGGGTGTAAGCCTTATTGGTTCTGAGCATGGTGATAAGGTTAGGGTCCTCCTTTAGATTTTGGGTGTAAGCCTTATTGGTTCTGAGCATGGTTCATGAAGGTTAGGGTCGTCCTATAGATTTTGGGTGTAAGCCTTATTGGTTCTGAGCATGGTGATAAGGTTAGGGTTGTCCTTTAGATTTTGGGTGTATGTCTTATTGATTCTGAGCATGGTTCATGAAGGTTAGGGTCATCCTTTAGATTTTGGGTGTAAGCCTTATTGATTCTGAGCATGGTTCATGAAGGTTAGGGTCGTCCTTTAGATTTTGGGTGTATGTCTTATTGATTCAGAGCATGGTTCATGAAGGTTAGGGTCATCCTTTAGATTTTGGGTGTATGTCTTATTGATTCTGAGCATGGTGATAAGGTTAGGGTCACTGTTATTAAAACTACAATTGAGAACCATTGATTGCACCAAGCATAGACTTTGTATGTAGTTGACCTAAAAGGAAACTCCTAGGGATTCTTGTAATGGTCCATCAAAGGTCAAGGTCACTCTGACTGAAAATAGAATTCTGTCCAATCATGACTTCAGAGCAAATAATTTCTTAAGCTGAATGTGGGTTCCCCTACGGGAGAGGTTGAATGTGGGTTCCCCTACGGGAGAGGTTGAATCCTATACTGAGTGTGGTTTGTCAAAGGTCAAGGTCAGTGATTTCAAAAACAGAATGATCTGTACCAAACTATGAGATAAGAATGCAACAGCAAACATTTCACAAGCTCAATCTTTACAAAAATAATGTATGTACCACACCAGTAGGTATTTCTCGGGGCATTTTTGAGGGATATGCTGCACCTGACAATCTCCTGTTTGTTTGTAAGTTCAATCTAATGAAACATTTCATCTTCTAGTCTGGCATGAACATTACCTTGCTGCCAGACTGTTTATGTTTCGGGTCTGGGATGTTAGGCTCAACATAGTTGTAATCTTCATCATCCAGTTTTTTTGCAGCTGTCTCCCCGGACCTCTTGCGTCGCCAACGAATGACTTTGTCTAGCACAAGACCATTCGTCATATCTACATAATCTGTCTGGCTGGCAGACTCTGTCCTCATTATGGAGGTGTTGCCCTTTTTCTTGGCTGGATTTTTCTCATTGTCCTTATTTGACCTTGAAACCTTCTTTGGTGTGGGTAATTTATCCCTATTTGCCACAGATGTTTCAGTGTGTTGTGACTGTGGAATGTCATATGTGACTTCAAGCGGCTGAGTTTGCACCTTTGCTTCGAGGGAGTTGTTATAAGTATGGATGTCTCCAGATGTAAAATTGAAGGCCATATCTGTACTAGATTTCACCTGTACCGGGTCAGGGGATGTACCAGTGTTGACTTTCTGCACACATGTTGTAGAGGGAAAATAGTTGTTTGCCCTCTCCACAGGCAAGTCAGCATAGCTATAGGCATACATGTGAGATTTAGAGTCTTTCTCAGTTATCTGTAAAACAAATATCACTTTCATAATTAAGGTTACAAATCTAATAGGCAAATTGTTTGCAGCAATTCATAAACCCATATCCAGACAAATCATTATCAAAAAGTCATAACTGTATTGCAAGGGGCACACAATCAATTTCAGTTTGCTACACTTCATAATAGTTGAATTATTCACAGTGTGTAGTGTATGATACAAGGTTAATTACTCACAGTGTATAGTGTATGCTACAAGGTTAATTATTCACAGTGTATAATGTATAATACAAGGTTAATTATTCAGTGTGTAGTGTATGCTACAAGGTTAATTATTCACAGTGTGTAGTGTATGATACAAGGTTAATTACTCACAGTGTGTAGTGTATGATACAAGGTTAATTATTTACAGTGTGAAATGTATGATACAAGGTTAATTTTTCACAGTGCGTAGTGTATGGTACAAGGTTAATTACTCACAGTGTGTAGTGTATGATACAAGGTTAATTATTCACAGTGTGTAGTGTATGGTACAAGGTTAATTACTCACAGTGTGTAGTGTATGATACAAGGTTAATTATTCACAGTGTGTAGTGTATGGTACAAGGTTAATTACTCACAGTGTGTAGTGTATGATACAAGGTTAATTATTCACAGTGTGTAGTGTATGATACAAGGTTAATTATTCAGTGTAGTGTATGATACAAGGTTAATTATTCACAGTGTGTAGTGTATGGTACAAGGTTAATTACTCACAGTGTGTAGTGTATGATACAAGGTTAATTATTCACAGTGTGTAGTGTATGATACAAGGTTAATTATTCAGTGTAGCGTATGATACAAGGTTAATTATTCACAGTGTGTAGTGTATGGTACAAGGTTAATTACTCACAGTGTGTAGTGTATGATACAAGGTTAATTATTCACAGTGTGTAGTGTATGATACAAGGTTAATTATTCAGTGTAGCGTATGATACAAGGTTAATTATTCACAGTGTGTAGTGTATGGTACAAGGTTAATTACTCACAGTGTGTAGTGTATGATACAAGGTTAATTATTCACAGTGTGTAGTGTATGATACAAGGTTAATTATTCACAGTGTATAATGTATGATACAAGGTTAATTATTCAGTGTATAATGTATAATACAAGGTTAATTATTCACAGTGTGTAGTGTATGGTACAAGGTTAATTATTCACAGTGTGTAGTGTATTGTACAAGGTTAATTATTCACAGTGTATAGTGTATGATACAAGGTTAAATTATGACTATTTCCAGCCCTTCAAGCTGATTATAAAGGTCTCGGGATGATATGAACTAAAGGATAAGGAAATGGTCATGGGATAATCTCTAATGATCTCCAATAAAGATACAGAGAATACAGTGATAACTTGTATAGTTATCAGTAATATGTTTCTGTTCTGCAACAAAATTGTAGATGAATGATGACGATATGTTTACCTTTTCTGTAGCTGTATTTGCATATGATGGTATTGAAGGACGTACATTTCCTGTATCAGCTATACTGCTCTGTAAATTATCCTTCTTGGTTTCCGTATCAACAGAGTTGTTAACCTTGGGCTCATTATCCTCCTTACTGTCGAAGCTTCCGCTGGTCGGCTCAAACCCACCACTCTCCATGTCATGTTCCGAATCAGACGGGACTACATCACAACGTTTCTCCAGTTTTCCCGACAAGGGAAGAAGTTTTTTGTTTTCATTTTTCTCCCTCAAGTTTGTGTATTCGATCTGGTTTTTGTTGTGTAATGGGCTAATGTAGCTGTCCCCGTCAGAGAACACCGAGTCGTAGTGAGTACCTAATTTTTTGGCACAGTCACCGGCAGTGTCGGAGAGTTCCGAGGTTTTACGAGCAGCTTCCTTCTCTAGGTTACACTCCTTGTTGCTGCGTTTGGAGGAGTAGGTTGAGGATCCTCGCTGTATCTCAGATTTGGTGCTCACACAATAGGGATCAATGGCAGAGTCACTCAGCTCAGCATACATGTTATCTGTAGATACCAAAAAAAATTGATGCCACCTTTTATGTATTTTTAAAAAAATTACAAGCTGAAAACGACGCAAACATCACCTTTTCAACTACAGCATAGGTGACCTTGAACTTATTGAATTTCTGGTTCTGATAAGTGGAATTAATTATCTGACTTTGATTACCTTGTCCTTACTTTTAGGGGAAATTCTCCATAAAGGGTTAGGTAAAACACCACCTATTTATAAACTATATAACTTTGCCTTGACCTTTACCTGAAGGCTGGCGGTCAGCAAGGTCATCAAACACCGGGTTAGACAGCAGCTGTAGTGACAAATTGTTTGTGTTGTTGAGCCTCACTCTTTGCATCAACCTACAACACATATAATAATTGAAGTTCCAAGCAACATCATCCCTACACCATGACTATTCCACAACTTGTCATTACAGGATTATACTTGAGTGTGCAGCTATTATAACGTGACCTTCCTAAGGCAGTTTATACAAACACTTACGATACTTGGATGTGGGACTGCCGGTCACCTCATACAAACATTTACATAGATGTGGGACTGTAGGTAACCTTCCTCTGGCAGTTCATACAAACATTTACTTGGATGTGGGACTGTAGGCCCCCTTCCTCAGGCAGTTCATACAAACATTTACTTAGATGTGGGACTGTAGGTCCCCTTCCTCTGGCAGTTCATACAAACATTTACTTAGATGTGGGACTGTAGGTAACCTTCCTCAGGAGGTTCATACAAACACTTACTTAGATGTGGGACTATAAGCGACCCTCCTCAGGTGAACCACTACAACACTTACTTGGATGTGCGACTATAAGCGACCCTCCTCAGGTGAACCACTACAACACTTACTTGGATGTGCGACTATAAGCGACCCTCCTCAGGTGAACCACTACAACACTTACTTGGATGTGCGACTATAAGCGACCCTCCTCAGGTGAACCACTACAACACTTACTTGGATGTGCGACTATAAGCGACCCTCCTCAGGTGAACCACTACAACACTTACTTGGATGTGCGACTATAAGCGACCCTCCTCAGGTGAACCACTACAACACTTACTTGGATGTGCGACTATAAGCGACCCTCCTCAGGTGAACCACTACAACACTTACTTGGATGTGCGACTATAAGCGACCCTCCTCAGGTGAACCACTACAACACTTACTTGGATGTGCGACTATAAGCGACCCTCCTCAGGTGAACCACTACAACACTTACTTGGATGTGCGACTATAAGCGACCCTCCTCAGGTGAACCACTACAACACTTACTTGGATGTGCGACTATAAGCGACCCTCCTCAGGTGAACCACTACAACACTTACTTGGATGTGCGACTATAAGCGACCCTCCTCAGGTGAACCACTACAACACTTACTTGGATGTGCGACTATAAGCGACCCTCCTCAGGTGAACCACTACAACACTTACTTGGATGTGCGACTATAAGCGACCCTCCTCAGGTGAACCACTACAACACTTACTTGGATGTGCGACTATAAGCGACCCTCCTCAGGTGAACCACTACAACACTTACTTGGATGTGCGACTATAAGCGACCCTCCTCAGGTGAACCACTACAACACTTACTTGGATGTGCGACTATAAGCGACCCTCCTCAGGTGAACCACTACAACACTTACTTGGATGTGCGACTATAAGCGACCCTCCTCAGGTGAACCACTACAACACTTACTTGGATGTGCGACTATAAGCGACCCTCCTCAGGTGAACCACTACAACACTTACTTGGATGTGCGACTATAAGCGACCCTCCTCAGGTGAACCACTACAACACTTACTTGGATGTGCGACTATAAGCGACCCTCCTCAGGTGAACCACTACAACACTTACTTGGATGTGCGACTATAAGCGACCCTCCTCAGGTGAACCACTACAACACTTACTTGGATGTGCGACTATAAGCGACCCTCCTCAGGTGAACCACTACAACACTTACTTGGATGTGCGACTATAAGCGACCCTCCTCAGGTGAACCACTACAACACTTACTTGGATGTGCGACTATAAGCGACCCTCCTCAGGTGAACCACTACAACACTTACTTGGATGTGCGACTATAAGCGACCCTCCTCAGGTGAACCACTACAACACTTACTTGGATGTGCGACTATAAGCGACCCTCCTCAGGTGAACCACTACAACACTTACTTGGATGTGCGACTATAAGCGACCCTCCTCAGGTGAACCACTACAACACTTACTTGGATGTGCGACTATAAGCGACCCTCCTCAGGTGAACCACTACAACACTTACTTGGATGTGCGACTATAAGCGACCCTCCTCAGGTGAACCACTACAACACTTACTTGGATGTGCGACTATAAGCGACCCTCCTCAGGTGAACCACTACAACACTTACTTGGATGTGCGACTATAAGCGACCCTCCTCAGGTGAACCACTACAACACTTACTTGGATGTGCGACTATAAGCGACCCTCCTCAGGTGAACCACTACAACACTTACTTGGATGTGCGACTATAAGCGACCCTCCTCAGGTGAACCACTACAACACTTACTTGGATGTGCGACTATAAGCGACCCTCCTCAGGTGAACCACTACAACACTTACTTGGATGTGCGACTATAAGCGACCCTCCTCAGGTGAACCACTACAACACTTACTTGGATGTGCGACTATAAGCGACCCTCCTCAGGTGAACCACTACAACACTTACTTGGATGTGCGACTATAAGCGACCCTCCTCAGGTGAACCACTACAACACTTACTTGGATGTGCGACTATAAGCGACCCTCCTCAGGTGAACCACTACAACACTTACTTGGATGTGCGACTATAAGCGACCCTCCTCAGGTGAACCACTACAACACTTACTTGGATGTGCGACTATAAGCGACCCTCCTCAGGTGAACCACTACAACACTTACTTGGATGTGCGACTATTAGCGACCCTTCTCAGGTGAACAACTACAACACTTACTTGGATGTGCGACTATTAGCGACCCTCCTCAGGTGAACCACTACAACACTGACTTGGATGTGCGACTATAAGCGACCGTCCTCAGGTGAACCACTACAACACTTACTTGTATGTGCGACTATTAGCGACCCTTCTCAGGTGAACCACTACAACACTTACTTGGATGTGCGACTATAAGCGACCCTCCTCAGCCGAACCACCACAAATACGGCCAGTATGATGAGACTCAGCAGCAGAAAGATGATACCAGCTACTAAGTAGGTCACAGTGTCTTTGCCAGGGTCAGATCCTTTTTTCTTTGATGTTTCTTCTGTAAAGATTTGGCTCGCTTTTTATTGTTATCAAAGCATTAAATATCATGTAGTTTTCTTACTACAATTTGTAATAATAAGGTCGTTTAACACACATAGATTATAAAACATTGTTTCTATTAACTCCAAAAACAATATGCTTAGGAGTAGTCTTGTTGCACTAGATTACTGAAATAAACTTTTTGTAAATATCTTTTCAAGATTTTCTTAATGCAAATCTGCAATTACCGTCTTATCAAACTTGATAACTTATTCATCGATTTGATTCACTGAACAACTTATTAAACACTTTAGACCAGTGGTAACCGTACCGTCAGACAGGGCCTTGAAGGAGAACTTTTTGTGGGATACAGGGAGACTCCCTAGAAAGCCACTTAGCAGACTGTCCTCTAGTACCTGCCGGAGGTTGACCATGGTCAGGGTTGGCCCCTCGCTGTCCAGGAACTTAGTATACAGCAGTGTGTAGGTCACCATCATCTTGTGCTGCCGTCGACCAGGTCTGTAGATATTATCATGGTGCTGGTCAGTACAATAAACACACATAGTTTGTAACAGTATAGTTCTTATTTGTAATGAACACTTCATATATCTGTGAATAATTTTCTATGACACAAATTTAGAAAACAAAATTATTGAATAATAGAGTGACAGATTAGTAATGAGGTCCTCACCTGATATAAATGTTGTAAGCCTGTACCCGGTCCTCAGCATTAACCATCCCAGAGTACAGCATACTGACCTGTAACACGACATGTGGAAGATTTAGGAAAGACAGGGATTGCAAACCTCATTTTAAAGACGGCTCCTAGCTTTCCTTAAATACACTTTTTTTTTTGCATGATATTGGTTATCAATCTGCCTAGTCAAGGTAATCTCTTTCAAAACAAAATGACTCTCCTATATGGTAAGTTTATCGGTAAATATAAGATGACTCACCTTTTGGTAAGTTGTGCCTATTTATACACTCACCTCTTTGGTAAAGTTGTGTTTGAAAAGCCAGCCATGTTTGTAGAACGTGTGATAAGGTTTCTTCACCAAGATGGTGGCTTGATACTCCTTGGTTACTGCAACAGAAAATACTCTGTTAAAGTCCCCCAATCAACATATTTGTGAAACCAAGCATGATTTTACAGAATAAAGTACCATCTGTATATAAATATACAGTTTTAGTTTTCATGACCTGTAAATGAAGCTAGATCACTAGCTTACAACTTCACATCAACTTTACACAATGTCACCTCTCTGTGTACTAGGATATAGATGACAAGTGACAAGAAATAATCTACCTCTCTGTCTGTACCTGGTACAGTCCCTGTGTAGGGTATATATAGTTACAGTGACCAGACCTACCTCTCTGTCTGTACCTGGTACAGTCCCTGTGTAGGGTATATATAG